TCTACAGAAATTCTATTTTGCCTCCTTAATTTACTTTGAAAAATGTTTTCAGTTTTTCTTCCTCCTGTTGTTAGTAGCTGATGTGGTACTCTGGAACACTGGTTCAACTTTTGTAAAACACAGCATTTAATACTCTGCTCTCATTGGCAGCCTGCCTTTTATGACTTGCAGAGCAGTTAAGCAATTCACATTTTCTTGCGGTTTTCCAGCTCACCTTATGACAAAAGGAGAAGTGGTCAGAGGCAAGATGCTGAATATTAATACAGTGACAATATATCACTGTATATCGTGGTAAGTAACAGTACCCATTTCTAATTCACACTAGTTTTCTGTGGCCTGCCATCCATTCTTTGCACTGCCAAAGGACCGCGGTGAACATGGAGAACCGGAAGAGACAAAGCAGGAATGAACCCTGTTAAAATGGGAACCCGAGACCGCAGGCCTGAAAAAACAAGCTGGGTCCAGAGGGGGCGACTGTGTCGGTCACCGCAGTAAGGTCCCAGACAGGACAGAACTCAACCCTCCTCTGTGCCCGGAGGTTTAACACAGTTCCAGGTCATTTTGCCACTGTACTTCCTCCTCGGTATGGTTATATTTCCCAGGCAATACAAATAATATATAATAGAAAAATATTTAATTTCTTCTTATTCCAAAGAAGTCATTTATTACTGTACAACATATAATATACTTGAATTTGTGTACACTCTATGGGTTTCTTTTTAAATGCTGTGCATATCAATGCCCATCCTTCATCTAACTGCTTTATCCAATACAGGGTCATGGGGGGGTCAGAGCCTACCCCAGCACACAACAGGCACAAAACAGGATACACCCTGGACCTGACGCCAGTCCATCACTGGACACACACTGACACATACACATATGCACACACACTCACGCCAGGGTCCGTATTCCCAGAAGCCAGTTAAGTTAATTCTCTAAGGCTATATACTGTTACAGCTTTTTCTTTTTGAAGCACAGGCTTAATTTAATTTGATTTTTTTCTCGAGTGATCCACGACTACGTTCTCACACTGCTAATTGTTCATCTCGTTGCCTAAAACAGAGAGATGGTCTCATGTCAGCCTGCAGAGAGTTTCCAGACACACGAAAAGACCAGCCTCTGGATAACCTGACCGAGATGCGTGGTCAAGGCTAGGGTATAACTTATTACTTGAGCCTACCTTTTCATTTATTTCCCTGACGTCCCAGCCTGAAGTTCTTTTTTTTTTTCCTATTTTCTTTTAAATTTGTTTTTAAAAGAACAAAGTTGCTCAGAAGACAGTGCCGGATTTCCTTTACCAACTTGCTATGCAGCGATGTTCCAGAACCCAGTACTGAAAGCACTCCGAGCCCGTGACCCCAGCCCGCTCCATGAGCAAAGACAGGGGTGATCTACTGAACATGTCTGAGCTCTGCAGCAGTGCCCGGCCCTGCCAGGCATAACCACTGCTCTCTAGAGGCAGGAGTTCTAGGTATATATAAGCTGGTATTTGGATCCCGCGACCAGCAGCCTCTGGTGGTCATGCCGAAGCCAAGTACCCCTGGTCCTCCCAGATAGACAGATGGGAAATCTCTACTGAGACCTGCAGCTGGAGTGTTTGCTCTTCATCAGGTAACCAGGCCCAGATGATGGTCTCTGCAGGGCCCGCAACACCTCTCACTTTCCCCTGGTTAAGGTCAAGGCACATGACCAGCTGTGCAAAGGCAGACAGGAGAAATCCACAGAGGGACCGGGGACTGCAGCCGGAGTCAGGCTGCCAGAGCCTGGGACACACGGGCACGCCCAGCCAAGCCTTGGGGTTCGGGCTGCAGGCTGGCACCTGCTGGGGGGCACGGACACCCCCGCATCAGCCAAACCTGCTCCAGTGAGCGCTAGCAGCCAGTGCCCCAGCCCCTACTTTAGCACAGATCCCTGGCGAGGAAGTTGGTCCACTGGCCCCTCCCCTTGCTCAGGACCCACGTGCACACACGCATGTCCAGGCCCCGGCTGGAGAGTCACTCTGGCTGCGTACGTGCATGTACCAGCCCTGGCTTCAGCACACCCGGAGAGTCACTCCAGCCGCTCGGCTCCGACACACCCGGAGAGTCACTCTGGGAGCACATGTCTATGTCCCAGTGCTAGCTTCGACACACCCGGAGAGTCACTCAGCTCCCTCCAACACACCCAGAGAGTCACTCCAGATGCACATGTACATGTTCGGCCCTGACCTCTGCACACCCAGAGAGTCACTCCAGCCTAAAGTTCTCTGGAGCGCAGCATGGAACAAAGTCCTTAACACTCAGATGTGAGGCAACAAATGCAACAAATGCTTGTAAACTGGGAAGTTGCTGAAACAGTTTTTATAGTTGCTGTTAAAATTATCCAAGGTATTGAACTGTGGAGCAAAGGTAAATCAGAGAAATAGGTGTAAGCATGTACAGTATAAGCCAGTGATTATTTTATTGCATCTAATTCTGCCTTTGCTGAGAAGACACACCTCAATCAAGTAAGACTAGAAAAGCATGACAATGCTTTTACTCATCAGACACTTCACATGAAGTCATAGTTGTAATTTTTTCCTTTCATGAATTTCCTGGATCCACAAACACATACACCCAGTCACACATCAAGAAACAGTTCCATTGCAATGGGGCTGTTTTGTTAAAATAAAAGAACAGTCATTCAAGGGTGTTTCTGTGAAGCAATGCAGAACCTCAGTTTTCAGCATTTTAAGAAAAGCCTAAAACATGAAATGAGGTGGACAGAAATCAGGCCTGATGTTGCAAGTGGAACATAAGAAATAAATCTAAGAGCTGGTAAAAGGGTATTGATTCTGAGCATGAACAGCATTTAGCACTAGATGCAGCTTGTCATTAAACATGCAGTCCTTCCCCAGAGCACGCCTCACTTGATCTTATATTTTGAAAATATCCAAGGACATTCTGAAAACACTACTCCTGTTATATCATCTTAATACACAGGGTTAATCAAAGTTGACCATTTACACACCATCACGAAGAAGATATTTTTCCAGCCTCATTGTGGTAATGAGCATTAACAAAAAAGATCCAGGCCACCTCTAATTGCACTCAGCGATGGGTACACCTTAACCCTGACCCACGTGATATCAGAGGGCCTCCTGGATCATCAGCTTGTCGTATCCCAGAAAACCTTAACAGTGTTCAGGTCCAGTGGCGCAACTCTTGTTCCCAAGAGGAGAACCACTGAGAGAAATGACCTGTGACAGCTTCATTAGCTGGCTGGGAAAACGCAAATGTCAGCCAAGTACTGCTCAAAAGGAGAGGGGACGTGGGTACTGCAGAGGTCACACTATTTATAGAGTGACCTTCCGCAAGTAGAAACATTACAGGGAGAGCAGGAGATTCAGCTGTGGAAATGTCACAGGACACCACCTCTGCTGCAAACCCTTGACCCCTGCGTACCTGGAACGCAGCAGCAGAAGTCACCAGCCAGCACAGTGTTAAGTTTCTACCTCACAAATCTCCTGCGTTCTCACTGCACACATGCAAGCTCGTCACCTGACGTGTTTCAAACCAGCTCTGAATACTGAAGCACTAGCAGGCTTGGCCAGAACAGGAAAGCAGTTGGCTTAGGGCCCAAAACCTCTTAAGAAAACCAAACACAAGCCTCTCTGTTTGGATCTCAACTCATGCAGATAAAGGAGCAGTGAAGAGCAGGATGTGGTCATCATACGCATACCATGTAGAAAACAAAACTGCCGTCACAATTTGCATGGTGTCAAGGAAAACAAAACTGTCCCTTTTATAAATCGATCATTCAAGTGTATAACTGTGCTATTTGCCATAGCTATGAATAGTTCAGGATTCAATACGAAATTCTAGGAAAATAAACCCAAAGTCAAAGCCTTCACTACAGAGAGTCTAATTTTGTGCAGCTGGAACCATTAAATGCCGAACACTGCAAGGTACAGAGCTGACTGACCTTCAGCGGAGAACAGCTCTTGAATGTTTTAAGCAGGAAATGAGCACAAGGAAAATTTCTGAGCGCATGTGTGAGAATAGGTCAGCGGTGGGTGATGAAACAAGAAATAAGACAACTGGGAGGGGGGTGAGCTGGTACAGTATACGAACATCCCCAGCTGCAATGGAGAAATGGAGTCACATTCCATCAGACAAGCTGGATGTCAATATCTGGCTAGTTTGTTTTAACAAGATCCAGGCCCCAAGGGGGGGGTGTGCACCCTTTTAGACACTGGACACGCAGGGGAAGTATCGAGCACCGATACCTTAGAGGTTCGTTTCATCACTTTATTATAAAGGTAGTCTCATTCCAATAGTCACTCTCAAAGTCACATCTAAGTCTGAGGACATTTACACAAGACGTTCGGAGGACTCCTCCAGTCTGCCTGCTCGGTGAGCTTGGAGGAGATCTAAATCTGCTGCTGACATTTCAACACTGGGCCAACTTTAAAGATGCAAGATGCCATACCACTATTTTAGAAGAACACAGTGGATGTGTTATTTTAGTACTTCATTTCAATGGATTTGAAATGTCATCACCTTGAGTATTGAAGTCAAAGTTATCTACTAAGAAATATGACAGTTGCTCAAGACCGCATATGCAAAACATACATGATAATACATTAAATGCCAGATCTATGTTCCACATTTTTTCCTTCTCTATACTTCTATCCAATATCTACACTACTGTCTGAAAACCCACTCTCTCCTGGAAAATCTTAAAGAAAAGAGAGGCAGAATATTTCAATGCTGCTAGTGAGAGGCTGGCTGAGCCCAGCAGTAGATGGACAATTAAAGCTTTAACTAAATTCTAGAATTAAGTTGAAACTATTAAAATCAAAATTGTTCAAAATTATCAAAATAAAATTAAACCACTGGTGAAGATAAAAGGACCAAGGCTGCAATTTTATATTGTTTTAGGCATATAAAAGTTCAGTTTTTAAATTACAGCCTGGTTCTCTGAAGGAGCAGTAGATTCGCTGAAGTATAACAACTTATTAAAACATTAAAACTCACCGAATCCTCTGGAGGTCTCTGAATCTTCCCCCAGTCCACAGAAGGCCCCTTCTCTTGCAAAAATCTGTGGAAGAGCTTCTTAAATCCTTCAAAGTCCTTCCTTGAAATCTACAAACAGTATGTAGAGATCTGTTACTGACCATTTTTATTCCTTCTTTATAGCCACCATGAGTTCACATAATTAAGACACAGATATTCTCCTTTTCAACTATTAAAGAAATAACTTTGCCATTACAACCAGATTCAAGACTTAATCACCCCTGGAGGGATTAAAATTCAGGTTTAAATATGCTCAATATCACCGTCTATTAGCAGTGCAGGAATTCTGTAGCCTCCCGAACAACCTCCTTCTGACACTTCTGTGTAATTGAATCCCTTGTGTTTATAAGGCCCTCCATGGGGCAAAGGTGAGGAGACCTAGAACCAGATAGCATCTGCAGCACCCTGACATATGCAAAAAAATGAACAGAAAAATAAATCTTCAACATATGACATCATTGCTGTGCATAATGACATCGTGCTGTAATTATAAAAAGGGTTACAATTCCAACACGTGCTTGCAGACAGGGCTGCTTTTGTTAAAGGTCAGGACGTGCTGCATTTAACAGCAGCTGCTAGCCTGAAATGATTGGTGTTCTAGAGGGTGTCGGACCAGATGGTTAGTCTGAGTGCAAAGTATGTCTCATTTCCTTGAGTGACGTATAGCCAGTAAGCACAATTATAAGCATATGGGTCCTTCACAAAACCTTTCTGAAGAAAGTGGATTTGATGTGTCCTTTATATGTAAGGCAGGGGCTTAAGTGCAACCTAGCAAGAGACAGACGATTTTCAAGGGAAAATCGGGGCAGGAAAGCCTCATCCAAGAATTAATAGGATATCTGTCTGCTTCATGAAACCTCTACCACACCTGACACCTCATGCAGCAGGATCAACTCCGAGCAGCCAATAGGATAAAGATCTTTACGGAACAGAAAATGATCTCAATTTAGACCCATGAAGGGATAACGACCATTCTAACAGGAGCTAGGGGCAACTATTATTCATTCCCTTATGATGCTCAGAGTAGCAACAATGTAGCTACACTTAGCATTATAAGTCACTTATGATTTATAACTTTGGCAATATTTTGCCGTTTTAAGAAAACTATTTTTGTAGCAGGTGCACTGACATTTCTCTGAACTGATATAACACAAAAATACAAAATGCTGATTTGCCATCAACAGGCTGATCAACAGGGGGTGTACTGTGAGAGTCAAAGGCTTGAAGCATGTGTAATCACCACTGGAAGACTCATGCTTGACACCAGGTTGCAGATGCTATCATTCATACACGAATGTGAGATTCCATCCCCCTGTCCCTCGTACAGCCTGACCAAGCCTGTGCCTGGTCACTGGTCTCTGAGCCCTGATGTCCCACGTCAACGGGGCTTGTGTTTGGTGGCCACGGTCCATGGCACTATTGTCGCATTCCCATGTCGTAAGAAAGCCGTTCTTACACAAGCAGCAGGAGAAAACGAGCCATCCTGCTGGAACATTATCACATCAGGATGATGCAGGAAGGGCGGTCCCAGAAGCTGATAAAAGTAGCTGTGCAGTCACGCTGCCATCAATCATTACTAGCGGAGTTCTGCAGAAACTAAATACCCCTGCCAAAACCATCATGCTTGGATTTGGTAAATCTGGCAAAATGTCACAACTTGTAGTTTCCAGAATGCAATGTCTTGCCAGGCAAAAAAACTAACTGCTAGTTGTGAACACCCCAGACAGAAAGCAGGTTTTCTGACTTCATACAGCCACTGTCTTTACAATAAAGGTGGTGCTCTCTTGACAAGTGGTGCATATTGGTTCATTTGTATGTCTTTCTTGATTTTCATTTAGCTTGGCAATCAATAGGTTCCATCACCCCATCACCTGTATCCAATCAGCTCACTCACTAACAAGACAATATGGTGCTTATGCACTTGACTAGCACAGTCACAATGGTCAATCATAATAATGCAAAACATTTCAAATCCATTTTTTTATTCTTCTTAAAAAAATACATGCATAAATATAGTAATCGACTTTTTATTCTCCATATACATGGGAAAGACCCTTGGTGTCTTCACAGCATCGATAGGGATTCAAGATCTGGAAAGGCTAGAGAGCAAAAACAAATGAAAACTCAGAGGCTTCATACTTCATATGCTCATCAGCTCCACACGCTTAGGAAGAGAAACCTCTGCACTACACCCACCTCTGCATCGGCCCCACTCGCTGTTGCCAGCAGATTCTCCAACTCCTTCTTCATGGAATTTTCCAGCTCCTGCCGGATTACTTCTTCAAACTGCGCCATTCCACCGTTGGAAATCCTCTTGCTAAAATCTGGGATGGTGGGGGGGAGGAGGGAAGAGATGTCATTATCTGGTCACTTTCCATCCTAAGCCATATCTTCCTAGAGGAAGCACTAATTCAGAAACAAAGTGAAAACACAAGAAACATAAACATCAGTAAGACTTGGAAGGCTACAAGAAAACACCCTGAAGCTGATGACACAGTACTTCATTATTTTCCTGAAATCTGAGCGCATTAAGCTGAAGAATTATTTCTGGTCAGAAGCCAATCTTAAAGTTTTTCTGGAGCAACAGATTTTGATATACTTGAGTTTTTTTTATTTCCAATGTGCAGTAACTACAGGCCGTGCTCCTTTTACCAATCTTGTTTGTCCTAGTTGATTTGCTGGTCAAGAATCCTAATTAGTAATGATTAGCTGGCTTCGTTTAAGCTGAGGATACATTCCTTAAACTCACATGTGTGGAAAGAACTCAGAACCAAAAAACACAACCCATGTGAAAAAAAGCCAGTGATGAACATATCTGGAAGAAGATGTTAATTTAATGGATCAGCAAGATATTTCAGGACAATCACCCCACTGGCACAGGTTTAATGCGACTATCAGCGAATCTGGCTGATAATAACCACAGTTTCTAAAGTGAGCTGATGTGTAGGGTGGCTATATTCCATGATTGCACAGAATCTTTTCATTTCCAAATCATTACATTTTAAACAGCATTAAATAGTAACAATCCACCCATGAAGAATTTTAGATCTGCCCAGGAGCACAGAAGTCTATAGCACATTCTAAACTGTCTTGATCCCCTCTGAACTCCTAAAAGAGGATTTGTACCTTCTGAATTTACGTACCGTCTGTGCGTCACATTCTCAAATTGGCAGAAACATTTTTTAAATACAAGTTTGGGATTTAAAAATCAAGCACGAGAATCCACACCAGCTTTAAATTTACAGAATGTGACATCTAGACCTTTGACTTTTACACTGAGTATTTCAAGGGATGAAGGACAAGAGAAAAGTAAAAATAAAACAGCAATCATGATCTGATGCCCGCTTTGGCAAGCTATGTGACCTTTGTTCATCCAACCTCTGACTCTGAAGGAAGCCGTCAACACTGCTGTTGCGGGAAATTCCTTCCAGGGCAGATCTGAAGAGTGCCCATGCCAACAGGGAACAGACTCCCAGATGTTGACCGGATGGCAGGAAGGGACAGGATTTGCTGACAATCCTAGCACTGCTCCAATATGGATGAGAAATGGTAAAGGCGTGACAGACAGAGTTAGGTGGTGTCAGACACAAAGGTTCTGTCATCCAGGCAAAGGTTACCTAGCTTTAGTGTATTATTCTCCTGTCCACAAAGCATAATGACAGAGACAGTCACTACACTGCTCCTTACACAGCCAGACCCTTACATTGGGAGCGACTTCTGAAAAGGGACCAGTTACCAACTCCCTATGCATAGAGTCACAATCAAAGCCGTTTTTATTAATCTTTCCAAACACAAAGGATTAAAGAGTACAAATATTAAAAATGAAGCTGACACAGTGTCAAACAGGTTTGCACCTGGCGATCTCAGGTAACCTTTTCAGCCATAGTTTTATTTTTTTTAAGGGAACTACACAAACTGTACAGTGAAGAATGGGCAAAAACAGCACTACAATTGAGACTGAAATTTAGCTTTGACAGCTCATAATGAGATGCAACTGAGTCAACGTTTACCAAAAGTATTTGAAAATACTAGGTCTTTTGGGTTGTCTTCAAGCTAGTGAAACTGTTCCAGTTTTTTACAGCACTTGAAAACAGCTCGCTTTTTAAACAAAACTAAACCTTCAATGCCGTCAACAACTTCAGCATTTTATTTGCAGTTATTTGAGAGGGATGAGATAATTAGATTAGGTTTAAACTTTAACATTAAATAAGCCATCATAAGTCATAAGTCTAAAAAAGTAAATAGTATTTGACACTCGGTTTTGAAGAAAAACATTGGAAGGGAGTGAGAAAACGAAACATCGGAAAAACTCAACTAAACACGCAGTTCAGACTAAATGTTTTAACTTGTGACATCTTCACTTCAGACACGGCGTACAAACACAGCTGTAGAAATGTATCGATCTGAACACTTCACAATTCTGTCAATTCAAAAAATATATACACAGTAGGAAATGAAGTTGCTCGATTCCACTTCGGCTTATGGTTCTGTACAATAGTTCAATCACTGTAGGCAAGATTATAAAAGTAAAAGACACGGGAAAGGGGGTACAACAATATTTAAAAGTAAACCTCTCCGCAATATAAAAGCACAATCGCTGTACTAGACTCGTGTTCCATGTGGACTCAATACTGTAGCTCAGCATTGAACTGAACAGGCAGAGAGCCGAAGACACTTTTCAAATGAAATACTATGATCCCTGTGGCCCCTGACTTCTACTTATTCTCTGCCTGTGACCTTGCCTTTTTAAAATGTTCTTTTTTCTTTCCCCCACAAACATCACGCAAGCCTTTCAATGTAAAGGCAAAAGCCTTCGCAACAGGCCAGGTAAATGAAGGATTGGCTCAGTGTCAGAAAATCATAATTTCACCAATCAAACGAGATAAAAATCCACACAGACACTGACACTCAAAGTCAATTGCCAGACCGTTACAAAACGGCTTATTCCGGTATCAAACTTACAAGGAACTTATTAGACAAATCCTAGCCAGCTTCTCTTGAAATATGAATACAGTACAGAATTTTATCAAATTTAACAGGAGATAATTAATACCTTTCTCCTAACTGTATTAATGCCCTTATTCAAATAGTAGTGAAGATAATGTAACTTACCTTCCATGTAAATCGACATCTTCACAGATCCGTACGTTTTATAATACACTTTAATATATTACGATTTATAATAGTTGAACTATAAAAACTCGAGATTGTTTAATCCAGCAGTATAGCTCTTCCTTTTAGTAGAGTTAAAAAGTCTATTAACAAAAATAATTTATATAGTACAATTCACAGATAAGCACAACCTTTTGTTTACTCCCGACCAATAGTAAATCCTAAATGCTTAAATATGCCATTACGTGTCAGAAATCTTGAAAAATTAGATACTATGTAGCCGTTTCATTAAAGACCAAAGCGCGGTCTCTCTCATTTTCCTAAAAAAAACACAAAACAGAAACCCTTTTAAATCAGACACCTCTTCTCCTCCCACTTTCATTCGCTAGCAACCAATTAGGTAAATTTTTGCTCAACCCCGGGGCCCTCGTATAAATCTCTTGAGTTAACAATCCAATCCCTCTTGGGCTATTTCGTATGAATATTTTAACAGTGCGAAAAATGCCGTACAATTTTTTTATGACATCCTAGTTCGGCCCCTTTTGCAGATAAATAATCCACGTCACGATTTCTTGGTTGGCTCGGCCGGCGAAACCCCCTCGAGTAACTAAGGGAAACCTGCCGCGCCCCCTTTTTTTATCGTAAATCCCGTTTTTTAACTTCCTTGCACTATGCTGCCCAACCCTCCCGGCTCCCCAGCTACCCTGCTGCACACACCGGGCGAGAGAAGCGGTATATGGGGCGAGTGCGAAACGGGAAATAAGCCCCCAATGTCGTTAGGCATTGTGAAGGCATGTGGAGAATGAACAATACGTGACATGCAGAAGTTACACATAAAAAGGGCCAGCACTAAGCACATCAAAGGCGGGGCCCTGTCATTCTTTAACTACAAGAAAAGCCTATTTTTGTTCCTGACGTTATCGCAAGCCGCAGCGCACACAGGGCAAGGGAAAGCGACGCAAAGCAAACAAAAAAAAAAAAGACTACAAGTGCTGCCACTCATCATCCGCCTCCTGGACAGAGTAAGTATTCGCGCAGAAGTTTTATGCTCTCAGACAGCCATACCCACCTTCTTTATAATAAATATATGTAAATATTCATCAACTGGGGAGTCCAGTGGCAAGGTTTTTTTTTTTTTAAGCTCAACACGAGCACGTTCAGCCTATGAGTTAAGTTCAGTCTCAAGAGATCACAGCCCCCCAAACCGGTTCTGGTTTAATAATAAATACACGACATAAAACACGATTCACAGACGCGGCTACAGCCGGATTACAAACACCTAGCAGGAACGGAAGTATGGCGCAGACTTGACTGACAGGGGAGCCGCCATCGCCGCCGACAGAAATCCCGGACTGAACGGCCGCTCTCACCAATCGGGACGAAAGCGACTCTGTCTGGGCCAATGAGGGCGCCTTTCTGTGCCTGTCAAGGAAGGCCGGGGTTGTACGATGAAACCAATGAGGCCACTCGCACGTTTTGAGCCGTTTTCGCAACACAGTGTCATGTGAGTGAAGGTTAAATGTAACGTCCAGGCAGCTCCTTAATGCAATGCTGGGTTATAGTTGAGAAGAAGGAGGGGGGGGGGGACGGCAGCCGCCTTTTCAAATGAACGATTAACATTATAGCCGGTCTGTGGGAATCCGTTAGCTTCAATCCAAGACGAGAAGCAGAAGAGAATACTATTAATAACATTATTAATAATAGGTTTGTTTATTAATGGACCAGGCAGCTATCGAGGTGATCGCATCCTGTAACTCAAAACCCGTAGCGCTTTCACCACCGAAAGTATCTTGTGATTGCGCAGACTACCAGCAAAAAAAAAAACCAGCTCATTTACAGGAAATGAACTCAACTGAACTAAATTTCTTATTAAACTGTATTATAGAGAAGTTGCTTGATTCTTTTTAAAATGTATTTAAAAGTTGTACCCAGTACAGCTATCACCTGTGTCTCCATCTCTCTGCCTATATTGAAATGCAGGCGAGTTGAAATTTGTACCAAAAATGTTATTTTTCACAAATTTATATTGTTTTCTCTGTCACAGGGTTTGTATTTTGAACCCTGTCGAGTAAGTTCTGTTGTCTTTGTGGTTCATCCATTTAGGTAGTTGACATTTAGAACATAATCAGTTATGGGGCTTCACATCTTCTACAAGCCACAAGCCAAAAAGTCAGGAGTAATTCTGAATAAGTAATGCTCAATATGCCAACTCATTTACCATCCCTTCCTGCTTTTCATTGAAATGGATCTGACTAAATCTAAAAACTGAAGCATGTGATGTAACCTCAAGGAAGAGCCAGACTTATTATATGAGAGGTTATTGGCCTCTTAAAATGAGGCAGTGGAAATCCCATGCAGTATTAGGAACAAGGATGCAGGATTTTCAGATGAAGCTGTTTATTTATGCAAAGTACCAGATCCTAGTGCAAATACATTCAAATCCTGAATGCTCCAAAATACAACAGGCCTAATTTTATATTGATTTTTGTTTAGTGTTACATTCCTGATAAAAAAAAATCAATCGTACTACATGTATATATATATAGCCCTGACTAGCTCTGTTGGTAGAGCATGAGACTCATAATCTCGGGGTAGTGGGTTTGTGTCCCAGGCTGGGCGCAAGGCTCTCTAATAACCCATACTGGGCAGCAGCAGTGTGGGGAGGTGGTATCTGCACGGAATAAATGCCTGGCAAACTACTCCCGTATCTTGTAATGAAAACTCTATGGATAGTGATGGTGGAAATGTACACAGGGATAAAAACCTGGCATGAGCTGATACTGACTCTACAGCACTCAACCACCACCACCCCAACATGTATATAGATATATATAGTAGATGTAAACAGTAGGTGATGTTGATCACTTTAGGATATTCTGTATAATGTAAGTTATATAGAATAAGTGTAGGTTAACATTTATTCATATGTTATGAAAAAACATTTAAAAAAAACTTCTGTTGTGCCTACGTTTCCCTTTTACAATCCTTGTAATTTTGTGCATACTGGCTGTTCGCTATGCTTGGTAAGTGCAGTTTCATTTTTATTTTGTGTCCTGTTGCAGCAATCTAAATTAAACTTGTATGTGGTTATACTTGTTGCTGACATTGTTTTCTATTACAGCTCAAGGAATATTTGTTGAGCATTTTGCAAAATTAGGTTATAACTTAAACTTGGAGCAATCTTTCCGTGAGTATGAAAAAGAGCTGAAAAAGATTGATAATCAAAAATCCTTATTTAATGGTGGAACCAATTGATTTTTACGTCTTTGAATGGATTCTATATTCCAATACTGTAATCGGATGAAAATATAAATGGCCTGACCAGCACACTCTGAGTATGAAAAGTTAATAGTAGAAAATAACAAGAATGTGTTATGATAAAGGGCACTCGCATTTATTTTAATATTAATTACCAGGTGCACTTCACTTATTCATTTTTTTTCTAAATGTTTTTACTGTTTTAAGTTGGAAGGAACCTGTGGTATACTTTTTGTTACATGAATTGTCAGCTGTTCAGAAATGTGTACTATTTCTTTTTGTTCAGGAGAGACGTATCCCATTCCTTAACCTACTGAGACTGTAGGTTTCTGTACTCTGCATGCGCTTCACTGGTAATGGCAGAGCAGAAAGGATGCTGGTTAATCAACACAGACCCTGTGTAACTAGCTGCATTGTTCTGCATTTCCCAGTGTGATGTAGATGTGCAATTCAGAAAGAATGATAGATCACAGTAAAGCCTTAAGAAAAATATGGTAAAGCTTATAGTGGTATAGTAAACTATGATATAGACTCCGAGAAATCATGACAGAACAAGTAGTAAGTATAGCCACCTAGAACAGCGCTACTGAGGAAATGCTGCACAATACAAACGTACTGAAGCAGAAAAAATAGAGACTCATATGAACGTTAACTGCAGCATTGCACAATATCTTGCAATATGGGACCAATCACAGTTGCTTCAATTGCAGTTACTGGAAGTTGTAAATTGATTGCTGCTGTATTACTGGCTGCTGCAAAGGCTGGAGTTTATGATCTCGCTGTACTGACACCTAGTGGATACTGGAGCTTCTGGAAATGCCCATTGTCTGCATACCCAAGTCAATTTGGATCAGTATAAACAAGGCCGTGTTAGACCCTGACAAGAGTCACTAGCGGCTGTTTACTCAAAGGGAAGTACATGGTCAGCTTTTCTGTAAAGGATGTAACTTGATACAAAAGTGAAGAGAAAAAAAGTTTATAGCCAGCTATTTAAAGTAGAATATCCTGCACTTGCAGAATAAAACAGATTCATCGTTTTTGTCTTGAACAGAGAGCATATCATTGAAGGAAACCTTATTTAAATCTTCAGAAATATTCTCAAAAGTGAGCTTCTTCAAGATCCATAATGAAATATGAACCAGAGTTTCAGAAACATGAAGACGTTTAAACCGAGACCAGGAGGAACTTCTTTACACAGAAGATTGTGAGATTATGAAACAAACCACTTAGCAATGATGTTGAAGCTGATGTTTCTGACCTGGTGCCCTTACTAAAAACTGTACCTATATACTGTACATAGGGCTGCAGTTGATTGATTAGTATTTTATTTGGAATGATTGAATTTATAGTGAAACACTATTTTAACAAACAACAATAACGTGTCTTTGCAAATGTACCATCAAACGTGCAAAGAGAGAGAAACAAATGAGTACTTGAACTAATATAAATGGTTGCTTTTTTCATGTTTCTCATTATGTAGTATATACTGTATACAGCACTTATACAAAAATTCCTACACAACTGATGTGTGCATGAAATTCTGTTCTAGTCTTGTGAGGCAACAGAAAAAGACTGTTTTAGTCCTAAACTGGACTAATCGATAAGCATTAGAAATATGGCCTTGACATATAGAGTAGCTGTTCATCAACCGGGAAAGTCAATAGTTCTAATTCTAGGAGTGACTGAAATATTGACAAGCTTCCTAGTATGCATTATTTGATTTACAAAAACCTGAAATTGAAGAAATGATATTGTGAGACATACAGTATTTGGTGTAATATTCAGTGTTCAGTGTGTGGTAATTTCTTTCGTGTGAGTGATGTTTTATTTAATCTCTGACCCAGGGAAAAGTGTGGTGTGGACAGTTGAGGAGAGAATGCAGGCTCGCGCTGTGTCCGTTATTTTGATTCTTTGTCTTCTTCTTGCTTGATCGGCTAGTTTATTTTTTTTGTTTTGCCAATAAAGTTTGATAATCGGCCAGTGAAAGCTCTGTTGTCCTTCACCTGAATGCCTAAAACATTTTACCGAACCCAGGATTTTACAATATTAACATTATTAAGTAGTGAAGGACAGTAGAATGACCCTGAACAGGACAACATTACTGAAGGTGCTATTTGTCTTGAACCACATAGGTTCCCAAATATAACCTTTATAGAAATTGTTGTATTGCAGCTACAGTATGTCAGTTTTAGTTATCCCATTTAGAAAATTCATAACAAATATAATTCTATAACATATGAAATCATGTGTCATTTATCTAAAGAGAGTTTATAGGCATTTTAACAACCACAGATTTAGTGCCATTCACAGGAAGTCTTTGTTTTCTGCCTCACTTGCCCTTTCGTCTGAAAAACATTTTAAAATTATTTAAATAATTGCAGCTGTGCTGCAATGTTCAGCAGAGTGCTGCACAGTATTTCTGGTCTGTACAAATGTCTAGTAAAGATCTGTAGCTCTGAAACCCTCACACTCTACTGTAAATCATATATACACATCAGAGGGAATCAGAGGGAATTTGGGCTTCAAAATATGCGTTTTCACAACGTGCATTCACTTCCACGGGAGAGACCAGCAGAAGAAATGTACCCATAAGGTTTTCAATAACCTGCTCCCACAAGTAGTCCCACCAGCTGGTCCCGACTACTTGGTCAGTGAAGATCTCAAGGCACCTTTTGAAACTGAAGGCTTTCAGTTTGAAGGCAGTGTCCACTCTAGAAAAAGTGGGATGAAAAGAGCTACTGTAAATCATCACAACAATAATAATTAACAACTCAAAATAAGTATCTCTACACCCATTCCATCAGAATTCCTGGAAGGAATTCAGCACCACCTGTCTTGTTTCACATTATTGTACATGAAGGGAAGGCTCAGACGGCTGAATGATCACCGCGTCACTGATGAGATGCTATACAAGTCTGGTCATGTGAGGACAATGGAGTAGTGCATTTCATTAAAGGAGAAGCTTGAGAAGATGTGTATGCACGCCACACTTGGGAGACAGAAATCTGAAAACACCTCTGTTGTGCTTTGGGTTTTCCACTCCGATAGAGTGGAAGATCTTCCTCACAAAATGTCAGAACTTGAAAAAATTATGTTTAATTTGTCAAACATTTTTTTTATTTCTTCCTTTCTTGGTTATGAGGGCTCTTTAAGTAGTTTGCTAAACTGTCTCTTATGAAATGAACCTGCAACTTTTCTTGGGTGCCATTGAAAATGTTAAGCTAACAGTCTATTTTTTAATGGGTTTTCTGCACCTTTTTAAATTTGCCAGCAAATGGAAAAATATAACTTCAAAATCACAGCAATGAATGTGCTGCTTGTGAGTGGGTATTATCTTACTGATAATGCTAAAACACACTTGCTTTTCTACCATCACTACAGGTGATTGCTCTCTGACTACAATCCTGTTCTTTTCTTCATTAAAGTTTTCCAGATGATTAATAACCAAAGCTCTTCATTGCACATGAGCAGTAAACTTCTTGGCAGCCTATGTGCTACAGATAAACATGGAAATAATTAAAACACACTAAAACAATTGAGCACCGAGCTCTGTTAATGAAGCAAAGATAATCTCAGTGCGGATCTGGGAACTTTAAAGTCTGTCTAACGCAGTGTGAAGTGGTGTGTGTAGAATTAACAATTATCACAATAACTATAATAATGCATTCTCATTTAAAGAATCCTTTCACACCATTCGATATTTTTCTAAAAGATTTGGTTAAAGCCATTCTGTGTGCACTGAGCTTTTATTTTACTCCTGAATCAACAAGTCAGTTCGGTATGATTTCCTCTGAGAGCAACATAAAGTCCCAGAACTCAGGTATTGCAGGCTTCTCTGTCTTGTTGTCTGTACTCCCAGTGATACACAAGTTATCATGCAGACCACAATATTCCTGCTCACACATTCTTTTGTGCAGGAACTCTGAAAGAATGCATTGCTCAACTTACAGCAATCTGCAATTTCCAGTTGGCTGTCGGAAGTCTGCAACTGCTGTTTTTGTAAAAGGAAGAAGAACAACCGTTTTGTTCGATTCCCAAATCTGTGTTTAACAGGAAGAGAAAAATACAGATACAGCACATTGTCTAGACCAAGGTCAAGTGAAAAATAATGTACAAAATACAACATTGGCCATATGATGTGGGGCTCCAGAAGGGAAAAGGATAGGTTAAAAACCTATTAACCAATTTTCCAAGTCCTTCATTAAAAATGCCTGAAGTTCATAATGCCCTGTTGAAATGCTAGTTTCTTTTATTTCAATACCTAATGCCCCATTGTGTTGCTATAAAGTATATTTACCAGTTACATCTGCATCCTTCAAACAATATAGAAGTTACATGAAGGCCACTTTCAATTGGACTGTTAAATTTTATGCGATGCTGTGGTTAAGCTTTAACATCACCTGCATCTGCCTGAAAAAAAGTAATGCATACTTCTGTTCTTGTCAGGATTAAGTATCTTTCTGCATTATTCCAGATTTCTCTGAAATGGAACTCTACATAGGGTTAAAAAAATACTTTTTTTGGCATTTCTAGATTTAGAAAATATGCCATCTTGTTTACCTTATGGGAAACTCACTCCATTATGTGGCAGAAGATATGATCACTGTAGTCACATTTTCTCAAGTTATGTTCTCACCTTAACAAGTACCTGTCCAGACACGCAAAGCATAAGCTTAAAATATTAACGAATATCCATTGTAGTCACATGAATCCACAATTAACTACTGCCCTCCTGTGGCAGCTCCACTTCACTGTAATTGAGAAGAAAGGAAGTTTTTTCAGAATGATTGTGAAATTATGTTCTCGGCCGGCCACAAAAGTGGAAGGCACTGCTTTATGAGACCTAAAACCGATATCTTCCCCTCATAGAGGCATTAACAAAAATGCCAAAAAGTACAGTGGGGATTGTGATTCTTCACATATTTTCAGTTGTTTTTACAACCTACCTCTTCAAAATGCAATTAGCAGCTAATGATTGTTCACTTGGTCCCCATTTATTAAATTTGTTCATTGCTGTCCAAGTACAACATTGACAGTACATTTTTGCTATGTTGCACAAATAGTATAGATTTTGCAACTGGAAAAAATAAATGCACAATATATACAGTAGATCTCCACAATCTACAGGACTAGAATGCAGATTAGGGATCATCTAAACTCCTTTAGAAGTTGAGTTAGACTGATGTTCAGTAAAAAGCAGTTAATTTTGCAATTTAAGGGTTTTAGCATTTATAAACTAGAAAACTGAATCCGATAACAGCAAAGTTAAAGGGATTGTCTGCAAACAGTACATATAATAGGCAGAACGTGCAAGAAGTCAACCGAGGGGAAAAAAGTACATCCTCAGCATGGGAAGAATTCTATAAACAATTCCAGACACTTTACATGGTTTTTATTGTGGTATTTTTATATCACCGATACAAGGACAAGTGCGTTACAATGACATCCCCAGTTTCTTCCGGCAAGGCCCGTTAAAGCTGCACAAATGACACCGAGCTGCTGGAGTTACAGACGAGAGGGAAGGTTCTGGGTTTCTAAGTGCTGCGTTGCTGCTGGGTCCTGCCCTAGTCAGACTCCCAGGAAAGTGACGGCTGTGTCCCTCTCCTCCACCAGCTCTGCCGCAGTGGCATTCATCTTCCCACGGGAGAAGTCATTGATTTCAAGGCCATCCACAATCTTCCAGCTCTTGCCCTAAGCAGGAAAGAAGGCAAAATCTGTGAGTGAAAAAGACCTTATACCTGACAGCGGTTTTCAGTCGGGCAACATCATTCAATAAACGCCAATTAAAGGGGAACTACAGTCCCAATGTCTCAGACCGGTTATTAAATCTTGCTAATAAAATAAACTAATTGACGATACAGAAAAGGTTGATATTTATTTGTCCTTAATTTGAAATCATAAACTTTGCGGAAGTACTCCAAGTCATCATGTTGTCGCAAACCCCAGCTCTGGCCACAGGCGAGAGCGAGTTCCCACGAATTGCGAAGTGAAGTGGCCCTTCCTGCTCGCTAGTCACTGTAATAATGTGACATACGAGCAAATTAAATCCAGGTTGTGCGGTGTTTCAGTGCAGAAAGTTTCCAATGTGATCTGGATGCCAAGTTAACAAGTAAGCTCTCGAAATCAAGAGCAATATTTCTATTGAATGAAAAGAGATGCATTCACAATGCTGCTTCTTCACAGTGCAATAGGGCCGCTTCACCTCCTTGGACATTTTGTTGCCTCATTCTGAATCGCAGAACATGATGTGGCACATACATGTTTGAAATACACTCAATGCTTTCTAACCCCAAATATGAAAATAGCTTTGCAGTTCCCCTGAACTTTACAAAAAGGTAAAAATCTTATTGGAGTCTTAAAAGTCTCAAGGGTTAATGACTACCCATTGATCCACATAGAAGTAGCTGCAGCATTACCTTGATGACGACGGGGAAGGAGTAGATGAGATCATCTGGAACACCATAGGAGTTTCCAGAAGAGTACACTCCCATAGAAGTGAACTCACCCTAGAGCAGGGAACACTGTTAAATTGTTGTGGCCAAAAAGCAGAACAGTCACCTTTTTATACCATAACAGTTTTCATCGACAGTGGGTTTTAATACTCTAGGTTTTAAAAGGATTTTTTTCCAGATGTGCAAAACATACTTCTGACATTCACCTACAGCACAGGCTTTTGTAAAATGGTCAAACACCCTTAAATAATTTTTCCACTCTTATATGTTAAGGATGACCACGATTGGGATATTTTAGGGATCTTGTTTCCTCACAAGTTGTACAACATTGCTTTGACTTTGCCAGCTCTGCCCTAGTCTATCCCATTACAGAACAGTATGAAGGACCCAACATCTACCAACAGCAGAAACCTGCTTACCTCAGGAGTGCCAAACCAGATGTCTCTCATGTGGTCACAGATAGCCTTGGCGGCAGACATGGCGCTGGACAGTTTGCGGGCCTTGATTACAGCAGCCCCGCGCTGTTGCACCGTCTGCCAAACAACAAAAAAGCAAAACCCAGAGGATTTACACACATGGTTCTGGACACTGCCCATAGCACTTGGGGCAAAGCTCACCAAGACAGGCCAAACCAGCCGTCCACAAGCTCAACTATTTAGAGACACTATGATCTTGGGGAAAAAACAAGGGCAACTATATAAGATGTTAATCTTCCCTTGAATTGTGGACAATGCACGAGGAAAGTCAAATGTACGTTTTGGGGAAAAAATCAGAAAGGCAAGAGTTACTTCAAATTCATATTTCAGGAAAATCATTGGAGGGGGAAAAAAAAACAACAACTCACAGAAATGAAATCTCCCTTGAGCCAACTGTCATCCTTCACGGCTTCATAGGCCCCGATCTCCTTGCCATGAACTTTGACCTTAGTGTGATGCACATCAGGGTATTGGGTGGATGAGTGGTTACCCCAGATGATAACATTCTTCACATTGTCAGCTGGGACTCCCACACGAATCGCCACCTGTGCAGGGCAAGAAAAATTAACTACTTTCAGCCTAAATTAGTCTTTTGGTTCCACTCAAGCTATATAAAGCAGCAAGTGTGCTTCAGAAATAGTTTTGAGTAGCCCTTTCACTTTTGGGTAAATACTCTAGCTGTGTAAACAGGACCTTCAGCCTTAGACTGATGCATATTACCAACATCTTTATCATTGGGCAACGTTTAAATCGATATACTTGCTCTTTGTGCTGGACAAGTAGATCCTAGAATACTGAAGATTAACTTGAAAGAACACGCTGGTCAGCTAAAACAAACTTATATCCCCACAGGTTCTCTAGAACATTGATTGGCGGTTATTTGATGGATGTAGCCTAACTGGTGCCCACATTACAATACAAACTTTCTACCATTTGGTTACAAGGTCATGGTGAAGGCTGCAGACCTGTGACCTGGCCCTGTTGTGATCCAGACGGGTCAGGCAGGAGAAGTTCTCCTTGGGAATAGAAGGAGCTGACTTGGAGGCAATCAGGCAGTTGGTGTTTGCAGGGTTTCCCACAACCAATACCTAAAAAAGCCAACACAGAGTCAATATGAATTGCCATCAGCAGTCATAGCAGGTTACCACCCATAGATTTGAACAGAAGCAGAGCAGTTTAGATTTTTGGAGAATAACAAAGGATCACTTCTCTTTCTTGTATCAGGCTTAAACCCACAAACATAAGTCACCTGTTTCATTTTTTTTGTGTGAGCTCTGCATCCTAAAGCAGTTACAGTACATATATAATTCTTACCATGGAGAGCCCATTCCCGCCAAACAAGGTATGAACACCCCACTGACTGAATACTGGCGATTTCATACCCTACAAATAGTGTTGCTCCTATGGTGGGCACAGTTTCCCAAAGGAATACATTTTCACATTCCAGTTTTTAGGTGTAATAATACAAGATTTTCTGCATGGTGCAGTTTTCATTACCCTCCACAAAAAATGAAAAGCCTACTGCATGTTTTCTGATCTGGGACTCAAAAGATTACTTTGAAATAAGGTCAAGAAACTGAACATAAATGGGAGGAGGTTTGGGGGTTAATCAGTTCACATACTTGTATTTTGTTACAAACAAATCAAATGTAGTTATATACAAGTCCTATTCTAGCAGCTTGGGGCTAGAATAATGTGGTTATTGTGTTGCCATACATGTTCAGTCACCACTCAGGGCACAGGGAGCCATGTGGGCTGACATCCTGGTGTTCCAGTGCATAGCAGGGCAGAGGAAAAACACGCCTTGTGCAATTTTATAGATGACAATTAACATGGTCACAAGGTCTTTGGATTGTGCATGGAAACTCAAGGAGAACATGCAGACTATAAAGCGATCATTGAACCACTGCCTTGGTCTTGCCATATAGATATAATGTATGGTAACTGATGGATATATGCAGCTCTAGTCACACCAAACATCAATTCAAGCAATCACGAAGTGTACCTTCAATGCACTCTTTTCTGAATACCACTATACAAAATAACCTGAACAAATTGGTCACTATTTTTTTATACCAATGGAGGGCAGAAACACAAGCTGTTTCTATCCCATTTCTTCAAAAGCATTAAATAGCAGGAACATTCATTTTACAATTATTCAACATTTCTTTCAAGTGCTTTACCCCCCCTTCAGTCCAAATTACAAGCCCACAGGATGTAAGCTGAGGAATTCAGGTTATTTGCAGCACAGAAATGGGAATTACTGGCTGACTGCTGTGCGCAATGAATTAAAGCCAAATCTAACAAGCCACCAGCAAAACTGTGCTTTCATTACAGGCTCATTAATCTTAGTCACCTTGACGGTCTTCTTGGCATATTTATCCAGAGCGGCACCCTGGGACTTGAAAATGTTCACATTGGCCTTCAGCAGATCCTTCCTCTCCATGCCTTCTTTTCTTGGCATGGAGCCTACCAGTATGGCTGCGTCAAGATCCTTGAAAGCCACCTCCTCCTTGTCAGTTGGGATGACCTCTGAAAACCACAGAATTACACTTCATAATCGGACAGAAGCTCTGCAAACTCGTTTTTCCCTTGACAAAACAGAGGATTAGATTTCTGCCAACAGCAGCCAAAACTTAAAATGCGCATTTACAAGTGGCTGGAAAACTGCTGGTCACCAATATCAGGCAATCTGGTGTTGCAAGTTGCAATAAACCCCCATTATCAGGCTGAACTTCAGCCTGGGCTCTGTGCATTCATCAATTTCCAGTAGTATACCTTGCACACAGTCTGATTTTGTTACTGCGGCACATACTGTGGGTGGTGCTTTCATCTAGGTCACTAAGTGACCAATCAGAGCCCTGCAGTTCGGCACACCTCTCCACCATCCGCTGCTGAGCCTTACACACAGCAGTGTCAGTTCTGCAGGGGGGACCTCAGACTAGGGCTGCAGTCAGTAGGCAGAGAGCTCTATTATAGCGCTGTACGGCAGGAGACAGATCTTAATCAATGGTGCTGGGACAAAGTGCTTTTCAAGCAGTGGAATAAAAAATATTACACATGCAGTCTGCAATTATGAAGGACTGGTCTGAATTATGTTGCAGATCTGATGTCATTAGCTTCAGCACAAACTAAAATGAACAAAGGTAGACGAAAATGAGATTACAGGATTTTAATTCCCCCCCTCCCCCCGAGATAAGACGCATAGAAGGAACCATCACTCCTCTTCAAGACTAGCTGTGCACTTCAAAATATTACCTAGAATTTTTAATTCACCCAAGCAGTTAGAGAAGTGCACTCCGTTTAAAGCACTAACCTACATGTACACTACACATGACTAGGAAAAAAATACTAATCATATTCAAAATTAAACCCTCTGTAGTAGGATAATTGTCCTCCATTTAGAGTAATCTGTAGGAGTTAAATTACCCCCCCACACATTAATTGCATAAAGAAAGTCCTTGCTTCACTGGGTTAAGGCTCTACACACTAACACGCTTGTCTGCTAGAGAACTGGGACTCCAGCAGACTGGGGCATCGGGCCCAGCGTACCTCTCAGCAGTGGGAGGGCACAGTCCTGCAGCTCCATCACCACGCCGTCCAGGACTGGCAGCATAGGGGTGATATCCAGCAGAACAAGAACAAGCGGCTAGGAAGAGGAGGCAAAATACTTCAGAAGGAAGCACAACAACCAGACCGGAGTCACTGCGCACATGCAGTCACGCCATCACAAAACAAGGTTACACCGTGCACATCACCTTCAGAAGAACTAAATTCAGATGCCCTTATTATGGACTAAGAACATGCGAGCAAAAAGTTAAACTCAGCTGAAATAAGCATTGGCAAGGAAGTGACTAATGTTAAATTCAAGCACCACTATTTTATAATCCTAAATTGCCAGATACCATTTTACAGCCCCTGGCAAAAGACCCACTTACAAACAGTACGTTTGTAACTTACACGTCTTTAGTGTCTGCAGTTTGCCAGCCCAAAATTAAAGTTCTTCAGTACCATCGCAATTTAATTATATATGAGGCCTAGGGTGTGTTTCCTAAAGAAAGATGCAACTAAACCGGTCCATTACTTACCTGATCTTTGCCGAAGACATCTCCCTTAGCGATGCTGTACAGAAGGGAATAGGCGATCTGGCCAGCAGCGCCAGTTACCAAAACTTTAATGGGATCAGACTGCAACAACAGGGTGAAAAATGGGGGCTTAATGACGGACCATCTCAAATTGCTTTACAAACATTTTTCCCCTCCCAGAGTCACCTCCCGCAGAAGCGACTGCAAGGACATCTCCATAGATACACAGCACACATTCAAAATAAAGATTAAAGCCGATAATCAATATATCCTCAGAAATGTTTATGCAAGTCTAAATGAACGTTAATTTATCGGTTTCAACTTCGCAGCAGGAATAAACTTGCCGTTCTACATTGCAGTGACCTTGGGGTTTTGTTCGAGGTAACAAAAAGCATATAAACAGGCATATAAGCAGCCATTAGACTACAGCAGATGAAACGGATGTCGGAAAAATCATAACACCATGGCGATTATGCACTGCAAGTGTCGTGCAACGCGTACGCAAGTCAAGTAACTGTAGCTCATCCTAAAAAAATGTAACGCCAAATTTATTTGGTGCAAATTTGAAAGTGCAAACTGTAAACGCCTTTCTTAAACAATGGAGTTCAACATACCAGAAACTCCGGTTCCTACCCTCCAACGTCTTCCGATTTATATTATATTTATATTCAATCGGCCCGATGTCGGTACCTATGTACAATGCAAGGCGATAAAGTGGCAAAACCGCCCAAAAAACAAACCAGAATCCTAAACACGTTAAAAATGTACATATGCATGTCTTTACAAACCGATGCCAACCGTCCTCTTACCATTTTGATGACTCTTGATCTGCTAGACACCAACTCTCTCACCTAACTGAACAGAGTGAGGGTGACCTCTATTTCAGACAGCAACTGATCACGGGGGCCCAACGAGTTGTTAATGCGCATGTGCCGCTGACCCCAGTGTATTCTGGGACTTGTAGTGTTGACTCCGACAAAGATTTTTTATTTTGCTCCGAAATCGAAATTTGGGAAATACATTGTCCAATATGCCCTGCTCCCTTCCATTTTTAGAATCGCCTGCCAGTATTTCATTGGGGGAAAAGGTGATTAATATGAATGTGGAGCTCGGCTTTCTTCCTGATGTAAGCACGATTTTCCAAATGTATAAAAAACAGCGGCATTTTTTTGGACTTCCTCTGCATGAAAACACTTTTCTACCTACAGTATATATGTTATCTTTTTTTTTTTTAAAAAGTGATTATCCGCTCAAAGCGTTTAACGCAATTTATACACGTGTGCACGGGCATGTTCAGATCTAAAATTCGGAATCAGGAGATGATGGAGGAATGTTTACACCTCCGTTACTACAGATGATTAATATTGCTTAAAACTTCAGTTGCCCTCCCGGGAGGAACGACTTGTCTGACCCGGAAGGTAATGGCGGTCGCACGCTGGGCCGAGGGAGTCTGAGAGTCGAGGAAGCTTCCCTGGTTGCCTGGACACGGAGAGCAAGACCTGCCAGCCGCTTCAGGAAGCGCTCGTGCGGCGATGACGGCGTACCGGTGCTCAATCTAAGAAGTAGCTGTAAAATAAACAACAGTCTTCTGCACATCACATGTACAAGAATCTTTTGAAAAAGAAACAAAAGGGTAAAAAATTACACCTTCTCTTTGACACAGAGACCAGTAAACCGTTTTTTGCTCCTCCGTCTGAATGCAAGCTGCAGAGATTGCACATCAGATCTCGGAACACAGCAGGTAGGTTGAAACTGGAAGTTTAAAATGGCATTTCTTAAGTGCTTGTCAAATACGCCAGTGGTTTCAAAATACCTGATGTCTTCTGCTTAAAGATTTAACGTGAGTATAGATTCATGATTATTCACTGTGCATGCATGTTTGAATGAGCCCGTTTGATTTAACAATGCCAAACTATAAATGTGTAGAGTTAGTCCGACAGGCTGTGGGATTAATACTTTCCAGCTTCTGAAATAATGGGAATTGTGCTACATTTCGTGATTTCAGGTTTAGAATTCGATTGCTATTTCTTCCTATCGCTTACTGTTCTGCAATTGCAAGTGATGTTCATTAAAATAGATGTTATTAAAATGTAGTTTTATATTTTATTCTCAGAATGTATGAGACTCTCTAATAGAAATCTGAGTGATTCTTAATTATCAACCTGACCTTGGTTAGTTTAGAAGCTTCAAATGTCTAAAATACTTTTGTATTAAACATAACTGTGCAGTTCATGAGCTCCACCGAAACGACAGTTCTACTGGTAGTACTGAGTAGATACAATACCTTTGGATAGACAGTTTCAGTATAATTTACCCGTTGTTTTTTCAAATTATGTTAATACCATATCTGCCTTTCACTTTTTAAAATACTCCCTTCTTTTTAAAATCTACCTACAATGTGCAACTGGACCACGGTCATTTACCTACAAGTTAAAATAACGTCATTGGATTATTGAAGAATTGATCTTCTTGCTAAGACAGAACGAATACGCTCAGACACTCTAGTGTACATTTAACAAATGGAAAAAAAGAAAATTGTTCTTTGAAAAAAGTTTTTAGAAATGACCTTTCACTGACGGGTGAAAAAAAGTGAAAAGTGCTGTATAAGATCATTATTTCAGAAGAATCCAAGTACAGTAGATCATTGTTCCTCCAACGCTAAGACATTTTTGTTGTAGTTCTGATGTTTATTTTTCAATTCAGTTTGCGTTACTGGACTAAACCTTCAGATCCTGGAGCAAGTGTTACTGCACTGAAACGAATAGGAAAGAAAACAATTGGAAACAATTAAAGTAACCAATGTACAAAACAATTGGAATAATCTAATATAATAAATTAAATAGCAACTAATATTGATTAAATGTGTGGATCAGTGCCTGAACATAAGGTTGTCACAGAAGGCTATATACTGATCCACCTCCTCAATGAACCCTTATCTTTGTAGAGAATACATAGAATTTATGTGTTTTTTTTTGGTTGGTCCGGTGGAGATCACTTCTAGCTACAAATTACGTTTTGTTTGACCTAAATGTTTGCTTGCAATGTAGTGGTATTTCTGTAGATTTTACTTATTCACTTTCCTTAGCAAACATGTTTCCCTAGCATCTTGAAAACATTTTGAAATGTGAGGTTTTTTTAAGAGTTCTTGGAAATAATAGTGGGTGTTTTTTATTACACCCACTATTGAGCAACATGGTGATAAGCTGCTTCATAGCTCTTGGGTGCTGGGTTCAATTCTGGCCTGCAGCACCTTCTGTGAGGAATGTGCATGTTCTCCTCTGGACATGTAGTTTTTCACTGGGTGCTCTGGTTTCCTTCCACAGTCCAGAAACATGTTGTGTATGTGTCTCTGAGGATGTGCCCTGTGATTGACTGGCATCCTGTCCAGGGTGAATCCTGCCTTGAGCCCGTGGTCTGCAGGGCTGGTCTGTGGCTCCCCTCGGCCCTGTGTTGACAAAGCTCTTATTGGAAATGGATGTATCAACGATGAGTGTGATTCGTGTGAGTTGAATGTTTGCTGTCAGGAGAGATGCTGTAACAATGGGAAGAAGAAGTGCATTAACCTACGATTGTGAGATCGTTGTCATTCTGGTTTGACACAGAAAATTGCAGTTCCCTGGCCAGGTGCTTAGTCCTTTCAGAGCAGGAGTGTCAGAGGCTTTCCATTCAGGGGGTAGTGTTAGGTGATCTGACTTATGAATATTTCATGGTCTAATTACAGGGTCATTACATCAGTTGAACAAAGCTGGCCCAGATTTTATTACATCTCATTGACTTTGGAAACCAGTATGCTTTGACAGACATTTCCAAGTGCCTATTAAGGGTTCTGTAGTGTTATTTATTTAATAAATAGGTCATTTTAACAGGTTTGGATTTTTTTTTTTAAGTAGGTGTGGTATTATTTTACTACTTTGTTTTCTTGCAGGCAGAAACATAGTTCTATTTTGTTTTTGGGTTGTCTTCTGTTCTGTTGGATCTGTTTCCAGGGGTATCTTTTCAGGGCTGTTAAGAGCGTTAACAAACAGATGAGAGGATCGGTGGTGGCTGGAAAAAAGATTGTCCTTTAGTCTTCCAGCTTCCAGCTCCATGCCTCGCTGCTGCCTCATTTGAATGTTTGTGTTTGGTTCACACAAATCTTTAGTACTTCAATCAGGAATGAAGCACAGTGTTACGTTTAATTGAACCATTTTATGGGTGTGTTGCCAAAACCTCTCTCCTGCAGCATTACAGGCTTGCTGAGATAATTTTTGTTCATAGTTATTTAGTATGAATGGAGCGAGGGAGGTTTTAACAAGTCGTGGTTTGGAGAGCTTTCAAACCTTCAGAAACTGACACCGACGTTCTGCTGTACAGTTAATCAAAAGCGTGTTATCCTGTAATGTCTTAAATTCAGAAGTCTAGTAACAAGAACAAATAGGAGATGGTGCACCTCAAGAAAATAATCTTGAGGCAATAAAACTATGCAATGGGGCCGTAATCACCTAACATTCTGTACTCTTCGTAAAAGACATTTCATACAGGGGTATTGCATTTATTAAAACTAGGTTTCTTTTCTTAATCTATGTGCCCATACTTGCAGACCTATCACGCTGTCTTGGCAGTGTTAACTGAGCAATGTTTGAAATTCCTTAGTATGAAGCTGATCCACATGTGCTCTCTTACTGTATGTTAGTCTCCTAGAGTTCTTAGTCTAAACAAGCTGTGTCTTGTAATATAAAATACACCCCCCCCCCTTTTCTGACTTGTGAATAAACTCACTGTAATACTTAACAATACAGGCTTATCTGTATTAGTTAATAATAGCGATGATCAGCTTTATGTTTGTTTTTGTTATGGATTGGTTTTGGTTCTGCAAATGCTATTTATATTAAAGCTAAATAAGATTTGCTACTTAAAATGAGCAAACGTACATCTTAAAGGTATAGGAATGCAATTACTACAATAAGCTTAGCATTCTTAAATATTGTCTTCTTACTATTTACTATTTACCTTCTTACTATGTGCCACTTTCCTTGATGCATTAAACAAAAAAAAAACTCTGGACTCTTAGTTCAGACATTCAGAATAATTGTCAGTTTTCAGAAACATGTTTTTAAATGCACCTGAAGTGCCGGGTGAAGCTTTGGCACCAAAGAAACCAAATGACAAGTCTATTTACTGTAGGTTATTAAGCACTGAGTTAAAATGAAATCCAACAGACTCTTCTGATAGAAATCTGCAAATGGACTTTTGGATGGATTTGCTTATGAAAAGGCTTTAAATCCTTCTCTTTGTGGACAGATTGCATGTTGGTTGTGTTGTTGCCTTAAGCAGCACAAACACACCAGGGAGACATACTGTACTGTATTCTGTGTAACACCAGAATATTTAAACGTGGCTCATTCTAAACCTGATGTTTAATTAACTTAATTCAAGATGCATCTCTGCTCACACGATGACCTATAGCCTTCTTCTTTCAGGGAGTCTTCACTGTGAAAGAGCTTTCACCTAGAAGATTGTACACAACAGTTTACATCCTTCTTCCATGGATCTATAATATGAGATAAACTAGTGAGAGCTGATACCTGGCTCAGCACGAAGGAGGTATTTCCTAGTTAAGTGCTAATGTTTTCCCAGCATCTTAAGGATTTTTGCAGTTGCATGTTGTAGAATCTTCAGATCACTCCAGGTGAATCACAGTCGCGAATGTTTCGTGTTTATTTGCATCTCTTTGTCTTAGTAAAGGACATACAGTCTGAATTGAGTGGTGATTGCAAAGAGAATTGTAAAGTCACATTTATTGAAAACGTCATCATAACTCCAAAATAAGGCCATACATTGGTCTTAAGTGTAAATTCTGACATGTCTAGTGTGAGAAACGTGAAGGTTTTAGGAAGGTCCTGTAATTGGAGTAATGAGGTTTGAACACTAGAGGGAGGCATTTTATTTGCAATCTTTTCACTTAAGGAGCCTTCATTTTCTATGAGAAATGTCATTTTTCCTGGTGCTTACGTTAAAAAAGTGCACTAGAATTAAACCACATCTGAGAAGGCCCTCATTTATACACACAACCTTTTTGTATGAAAGCAATAGATAACCATATAAAGAATATATAGAACCTGGCCTGTCTTTTTTAATGGAAAGTTTATTTTAACACTACTGTCCTTTACTGGAACCTAGATAGCATCTACATTGGCACACAAGCAGTTACACTGGAGTTAGAATGGTTGTAATGTATAAATTGTAATAATTCCTGGAACCAAGGAATTAAATTATTATTATGAATGAGAGATTATCTTGTAATGATCATGAAATCCATTTGTTCTTTACTTCTATCAAGTGCAGGGCTAGAAAAATGTGAACACCCTGCCCTAAAGGTCTGTGGTCAATTACTGTAACCAGTACTGGCAAGAAAATGCATTACAGTTACAGTTTCTTTGCATTTCAGTGGTTGGCAGCTGATCTGGAATTGTTATCACGGGTAATTAAACAGATCACACCCCAATTTAATAACATCTTCCTTGGCACTTCCCCCACCCTTTTCTAATGGACAAAGAGCTGTTTTTCCTATTTCAGTAAGTAAATGAGCTGGATAACCTTAAATAAAGTTTAGCTCTATTAGGGATTAAAGAATCATTTGTTCATTTGTAAACCTATAGAGGGTGGTAGTGAGTTGCCTTTGACGTTGCCTTTGATGTTGCGATCAAGCCTTTTTTTTTCTCTGGTTTAAAAACAAGTGCAAAAAAAAATCCTGTTAGAAAT